GACCTCGTGATCCACCCGCCTCGGCCTCCCAAAGTGCTGGGATTACAGGCTTGAGCCACCGCGCCCGGCTTTTATTGTAATTTTTATCTGACTTTTAGAGAAAGAGTCTAATTTTGTTGCCCAGGCTGGAGTTCAATGGTGTAATCTCTGCTCACTGTGACCTCGGCCTCCCAGGTTCAAGCGATTCTCCCCTTCCTCAGCCTCCCGAGTAGCTGGGACTACAGGTGTATGCCACCACACCAGCTAATTTGTATTTTTAGTAGAGATGGAGTTTCACCACGTTAGCCAGGATGGTCTCGCGCTCCTAAGCTCAGGTGATCCACTTGCTGGGATTGCAGGCAGGAGCCACGGCGCCCGGCCTGTAATCATTTTTGAATGAGGGCACCTGCGTTTTCATTGTTCACCAGGTGCTGCAAATTATACAGTGGGAAAGAGAGGCTCTGAAGAAGTGCCAAAGATGAAGGCATAAAGCAGAGAGAAATAAATATTAACAGATTTCACACATGCACAGAGAGAAGCTGAGAGGCAGAGACAGGATTGGAGGAGAGACATGGGTGACAGCGAATCCCAGAGTCACCGAAAGGCAGCACTCACACGGAGTCCGAAGCAGAGACAAAGATGAGAGGAAAAAAGGAACCAAGAGAGGCAGCTCTGATGGGAGCAGACAGAGGCCCCAGAAACCAGGAGCAGCAGAGGACAGAGGGAAGAGACAGGGTCTGAGGCGTGGGAGAAGGGCACAACCTGGGCTGTGCGGGTCCCGGCGGGACGTGGGGCCTCACCTGTGTGCCCGTCTGGCCTGCATGGGCCAGGGCAGTTCCCGGGAAGGGTGAGGGTCCTGTAGCTCTGTCTGGGTGACTTCTGCAAAAGCCTGCCTGCTCCTTCCTCCATCCTCCTCCTCTTCCTCCTCCTCTGGCGTCCCCCAAGGCAGCACCCCAGGGCCTCGGTACCGAAGGGTAGCAGCACTGGGCAGTTCATTCAGCACAGAAGACAGAGACTGGCCTGGGGAGAGGAAGCTGGCTGGGAAGACTCGAGAGTCTGGGCCCAAACTCCTCCCTTGTACCAGAAAACCAGGCCCCAGGCCCCTCCTCCCTCCTCCCTCAGACCCAGGAGTCCAGGCCCCCGGCCCCTCCTCCCTCCGACCCAGGAGTCCAAGCCCCCGGCCCCTCCTCCCTCCGACCCAGG